CTGGAGGGGCCTCGTCCCGTCACCTTTCTTCTCCCTCCACAGGTCGGCCCTCCTGTTCTTCCATGCCATCCTGAGCCTCTTGATCGTGTCAGCCCTCAACTCCTCCCCCAGAATAAATTTACTCTATGATTAAAATAATAAATTAACTAAATAACAAATTTTAAACAAATAATTAAGCAATTTCAATAATAAAAACAAATAATTAGTTTTTAACTAATTTAAGAATATTATAAATAAAATATAAATTAATCAAAAACAAATAATAATTAAACAATTAAGTAATTTAAATGAAAAATATTTTTACTCAACTAAATTTAAAATTATTATAAGTAATAAATTAATGAAATCAATAACAAATTATTTTCATTTAACTACTTTTAAATAATTTAAATAAAAAATATATATATTCATTTAACTACTTTTAAAAATATTATAAATAACAAACAAATTAAATAAATAAAAAATTATAATCAAACAATTAAATTATTTGAAAACAAAATATATAATCATTTATTTAAATTAAAAAAAATTATAAATAACAATTTTATATTACCTTCATTATTTCCCAGCCTTGCTGCTTCTTGTCTGAGGTGATCTTCTTCCAGTCCTGCACGTAGATGGGGAACAGCGTCCACTGCTGACCAAGGAGGCGCACGTACTTGTTGTACAACTGGCCACCTTTCTTCGTCGGTTGGCCCAACTCATTGAGCGGCACAACCACTCGTCCACTCGTCATCATAGACAGCTCTCTGGCTGTCAGCCTCCGATAGGACCTGTTCCCTTCAGTGTCTGCAAAATTTAATTAAGAAATAAATTATATATCAATAAATTAATACAATTTCTATATAAATTAAATACTGATCAAAACTTTAAAAAGTTAAATAAATACTTACCGACAAATTCCACCTCATAACCAGCCTGACGTCTCGGAGCAGGACGCTGCGCAGCCTGGGGATACTCATTCCCCTGATCCTGCTCCTCCTCCTCCTCCTCGTCAGCAGCATCAGCATCAGCATGGGGTTGCTCATCCCCAGTAAAATAAGCTTCCTCAGTCCGCTCAACATCATCCTGCTCCATAAAACTGAGGATATCCTCCTCGCTAAGATCGTAGTCATGAATGCTGGGGAATGGCTCACCAGCATCATGATGCACCTCACTGGGTCCAGCTCTCTCAGGATCAACTGGGTCTTTCCCGTGTCGACGAGTCATCCTAATAACAATAAATAGTAATTATTTATAAATGAAATAAAAAGAAAAATTATTTATAAGCTACAACATAATAAAATAAATAAAATAAAACATAAAATAAAAAGTATTTATCAATAAATTACTATTTTTACCTGAAAATAAGGATCTGCAACTGAATCAGAACTCGAATATGTTTGTGGAGAAAATTCAGCAGAGCTTCGCTTCCAGAACGATTGAAGAAGTGAGAGTGTGGGGGGGTATATATAGACCGAGAATTCCTAGCGGTTCGGTCCAAACCGCTAGAAATTTCTAGCGGTTTTGGGCCGAACCGCTAGGAATTCCCAACGGTCACATGTGCCTCGGGAATTGGCTAGCGGTTCTAGACCGAACCGCCAGAATTTCTAGCGGTTCTGGACCGAACCGCCAGAATTTCTAGCGGTTCTGGACCGAACCGCTAAAAATTTGTAAACTCCTCGGGGAATGAAAAATATTTCTACCGGTTCATGCATCAACCGCTAGAATTTTTCGGTGTCTAGCGGTTTATTGGCCTGAACCACTAGAAAGTAAACGCTACAAATTTGGCGCCAAGTTCCCGCCAAAGCTCGGGGAATTTTCTAGCTCTAATTTTCTAGCGGTTAGGTGGTAACCGCTAGAAATGTGCGGGCAATGGTCAAACCGTCTGTATTTTGCAGCGCTTTTTATAGAAACCGCTAGAAATATTTGAAATTTCTAGCGGTTTAGTTGAACCGCTAGAAATGTTCTGCTGCTACTTCAACATTTTCTTGTAGTGGTTATATCTTGATAAAATAAAAAAGTGACAAATTCATTTAAATTTTATAAGTTTAAAATAGTCAATTTTTTTATTAAAACAAATAAGGTATCATTAAAATTCCTCTATCCCCTCCCTTCCAATCAATCCAAACAATAATCATTAAAATCTCTTCCCTCCCTTCACCCTCCCTCTCCTCCCCTTTGCAGCTACCCTCCTTTCCTCCCCTCCCCTGCCCTTGATTAAAATCCCTCCCCTCCCCTCCTCTCCATTGAGCCAAACATAGCATAAAAGTTGAACCAAATTTGTGTGAAACAACTATAAGTAAATATAAATGAGCAATATAAAATGAACTTGAGACAATTGTAAATCATTTAAATGAACAGTAAATTGCTGGAAAAAATGAACAATAAACTTGAAGTAAATATAAATAAATAATATAAAATGAATATATAAATAAATTTAGAGTACAGTAAATATCTTTTCAATTTAAATGGATGAGGTTACAAATTTATTCGAACACATTAATCTTTCAAAAACAATGACAAAAATCATTGCAAATAACAATCTGAATTAATCCATAAACCTGAAGCAAATTCATTAAAGAAAAGACCAAAACATCTATGAAAACTTAATATGCAGTGATACCAACATTAAGTGAAGATTTATTTAAAAGTTAGTCAAAATGTAAAAATATAGTCTATGATAACTCTCACTTAAGCTTTTTGAAATAAAAAAATTTTCTAAAAGCAAAGAAAAACGCAACCTATAAACTAAATTCTAGTTCAAATTATAATATGTATCAGTATCAAAATAATTAAAATAAAAGGATGTAAACAAAGGATATAATGAAAAAAAATTTTAGAAAAAAGGGGGTTGGGACCGGGACAGGACATCCTGAGGTCATCCCGAGTCCCATCTCATCCCTGTCTGTTTGTGTCCCGGTCCCGGTATTGTCCAATCCCGGTTCATTTCGGGACAAGTACCATCCTACTAAAACAAGTATAAGGTTGAGCATCCCTAGGTTATAAGAAATGTTATACTTAACAGTCAATTCTCTAATAATGAAAATAAAAAATTAAGTATTTTTTGGCATCGAAAAATTAAGTATTTTATAATCTATAACAAAATATTTTTGGCACTTAAATCTGTCAAAACAGTAAACTTGCAATTCAATAATAAAATGACAAATTTTGCTTGTTACCTTCATTATTATTTATTTTTATTTTTTTGGCCATAAATCTTTATTTCTTCTGATTATTTGATTAAATCATTGAAATTTGCACGTAATTAATCTGATATATATGATTTCATTTTCATTTCTTCATGATTTAAGGGATCGAGCCAACATATACATATATATATATATATATATATATATATATATTTGTATATATGTTCATATCGTCATTGGCCCATCCCTCTTCTATTTCTTGTGGATAGAGCATATCTTGCTAGCGCATCAGTTACTCCATCATCTCTGCATCACTACTCACAAATGGTGTGTGCTTGTTTTATGGGAGAATCGGAAAAAGATACTTTTTAATTTTTAAAATTTTAAATCAGTCTTATTTACTACTACTTCTGGTTCTTAATATAGGAGCTAATTTGATATTCAATATGATCTTAAATATAAAACTTCAATTCACTTTTTCTTTCATATTTATCAATTTTTTTTCAAAGTAGTCATTATAGTAGTTGTACATATTAAATATTTCATAAAATTATAGTTTTAGCTAATGCACATGATTAGTGAAGGTATTTTAGAAAAGACAACACCTATTTATTATAAATATCTAACTTAACTAATTTTTTTAATCTCCTCAAATTAGTTAATTAGGTCTTACAGTAAGAACCGAAGATAATATATTTTAATAATAATTGAAAATATTTAAAAAGTAAATGTCAACATATTTTATAGTCATATCCTTATTTAAGATTTTGAAACTTAAGAAATATTTTTAAAAAAAATTTCTTATTTTATTTTAATTTTGAGATTTTTTTATTTTTTAAAAAATAGAATTTAAACTAAATTATATAAAAATAAAGAAAAACCATTTTATAAATACTTATACTTTCTTTTAATTTTCATTTTGATACCTGTACTTTGTTTCCTTTTAAATAAATTCTACAACATTGCACTATTACTACTCTTATTTTTATAACTTTATTCTGTTAGTAACATTAGCACTTATTCTAGCGATAACGGCAACGACATTAACAAATTAAGATTAAAAAATTTAATCAAGAGAAATAAAACATATACCAAATCAAAAATTGAGAAAAAATATAATTACTTACAAAATGATTTTCCTAAAAATAATAATAGAGAAAATAAAAATAATAAATAAATAAATACTGCCTGTTTTCAAAAAGAAAAATAAAATCAGACAAAAAAAGAAAACTTTTAAAATTTTCAAAATAATTTTAGCCAAAATTAAAGATTTAGAATGATGGAGGGTATATTAGTAAATTAACCTTATTGCAATATAAATTTTAATTAAGAAATATTATTCTAGTGTAATTGGTTACCAAAGTTTTTGATTAACTAACTGGGTAACCAAGTTAACGACCTGCATTTAAGTACATGATTTGAAAATAGGAGGAGGTATAATTAAGATAAAAAGCAAGAAATATTAAAATATTTTAATTTTTTTATTTATTTTCATCGCATGAGAAGCAAACAAACTCAATTTGCTTCCTGATAATTAATGTTAACCATGATAACGGAATTGTGGCTCTCTCCTTCATTCTATATATAGGGAACAATGCTAAACGAGAACCCAACCTAGCCGCTTGATATCAATCTGGTGGACTCAATCGGCGACTGTCGTCTCTTCCGGTGGACGCAGTCACAGCACGGAGCCTCCCTCGGCCCCTCCCTTGCGTGACGACAGGTAGCCGGCCCTCCCTCCATCGCGTCAGAGACTCGGAACGACAGAGCTCACAACCTCGCAGTCGCCGCCCCAAGCTCCCTCTGCTTCCACCGTTCTCCCCCCAAATTCCTCCTTTCGATAATTCTCAACTTTTCCGTACGATTTTTCTCAGCTTCCGGCGAAATCCACCTTCAATACCATCCGATCGGGTCACAGTCGGCTTTGGTTTTTCTGAGAGCAGAAATTTGATTGAGTTACTGGGTTTTGGTTTCTAGCTGTGGTTACTGATTCAATCGCCATGAGTTTTAACTCCGGAAAGGGAAATACTCCCGCAGGTTTTTGTTCATGTTCTTTGCATCAGCTTGTTTTCCTTTCAATTTATATATCTATTTCCTCAAGATAGTGAGTACTGAATGGGACTATAGTATCTGTCGTTGATATATTTTGGGGGAAAATCGGATTCGCTGCGGCTTTAGTGAATAATAGTATTGACGATTTAAATTGGTAATTTTTCATCCTTTCTTATCTTTAAGTTCTTCTTTTATTTTGTTACATGGCTGTTGTTTACGCCTGCTTCTGGCCATATATTTTTTTGAGCTTCAGTTGTAAGAAGCTTCGATGAATAACACACGTGTTGTTGAACTTTAAGAATTGCTCTGTGCTTGAATTTTTTAAAATTTATAAAAAGATTTTTCTTTTGTTTTTTTTTTTTAAGGTGGGTTGGTGGGTCTCTCTTATTTCTCTTGTTTGGTATGCTTCAGTTTCTCTCACTTTCTGGTCCATCTGTCCTTTTGGTTGGCAGGGTCCTCAGGGGCTAGTGTGGCTGATGATGAGCCTAATGAGTATTCCATTTTGAATCTAGATCTGGACAAGTTCACTTCTGAAGAAGAAGTCTCCCGTCTATTTCAAATGTGGAAGAAGGAGATGAAACGAGAGTATCAAACCCAAGAAGAGGAGTCACAAAAGTTTGAGGTTTTCAAAAGTAATTTGAAGTATATCAAGGAGAAAAATGCAAAAAGAGAGTCACCCAATGACTGCAAGTTGGGTTTGAACCAATTTTCAGATATGAGTTATGAAGAGTTCAGCAAAACTTACTTGCATGAGACAGATGCACCCCCTTCTTGGGGAGCTGTAACTCACGTAATAAGGCGCTAATAAATAAACCCAAGGATCACATGTTGGACGTTTGTAAGTCTTGTACACTTCTAGTGTATGTGTTTTATGTAAAGAAATGGCAAATGATTTGCCTTTGAAATAAAGATTGTGCGTTTTCATTATTAATGAAAGCTCTGACGTACCCTTTGATCTACAAAATGAATTAGGGCTAATTGCTGTACTGAGGGGTAATCTAGTTTCTAAATACTAAAATGGTAACCCCAATAAATTTTACTTATTGTGGACCATCACACGACCAGAAACTTAAGGAACTATATCTTTTTCTGGCCAAACATATGCAACTATTTATTAATAATGTCATTTGAGCTTGATCTGTTGGTGACAAAATAGAGCCTAGTGAAAGCACGATTACTGTGTTTTCCAATTGACCTGGGTCCACCGAAAATTAACTCTCTTCCCCGTGAGAGCCAAAATTCTCCCCCGTGATTCAAGTTTTGTGGAAAGTTAAATCTTACTGTGGTAATAAGAAGAACCATGCTGGAAATCAAGGATGATTTACGATGGGTGCCACCTATATGCCTTTGCGTGTTTGTTTAATTTTAAGAATCCAGTGATAAGTGATGGTTCTATAAAAAGCTGTGAAGATTGATGAATGGATCTGTTAAGGCCGTGAAGATCAGCTGAAATCTGGAGGATAAAAAGCTTCTAGTCTTTTATCTTGTTTATGCACCGCAAGATTGTGATTTGTGAACCTTTCTTCAAGAGGACTTCCTTTTGGAAAATGTTGCTCAGTGTTGCAACTTAGCTCCTGTTGATAAGCTAAAGAATTGTTTAATGGGTTTATTGCATTTATGATTTCCCTTTTTTTTTTTGTGTGTGACTCCTCTAAATAGATTATTGGCTAGCACTCATCTTTCTTATGTCCTGCTTTCATGTCTCTGAGATAACCATCATATTTATCGCACGAGATGGATGGAATCTTTTTTTATGTATGTAATCATTATTGGTCCGCGTGCGTGGTACTTTCAATTCTGGTCCTTTCGTGGAAAGTTTTTTCAGTAAATGATTTATTATGTAATATTGAGCTAAAATAATTGAGTTGGGGTCACGATTAAACCTTATCTTGAAGTTTGTTGTAATAATGTGGGAAAACTAATTTGGCAGTCATAGTTTTGTCAGATTTTGAATCGAGTACTTCTAATTTTGTTTTGTTTTTTATTATTGAATCCTTATACAACTCTTATCCTTATTATTTTGTCACCTATAGGAAAAAAATTTGATTTTTTTTATTTGTCATTTGTATCCTTTTTTAACGCATTATTTTTAATTTTACTGCTGGTCAAAAAAATTTTTTTACTTCTACTAGTTAAAGGTCAAGAAAGAAGGAATGAGTAAGAAAAAATATGCTAGTATTTAATATTCTCTATGATGGGGGCAAAAGTGAAAGATTTAATCTATTTAATACTCTCCTTGGTATGTGAAAAACTATTAAAAGTGACAAATACTCCCTCCAATCCTATTTGTAAGTTTTAAATTTGGAAAGGGGTATGGTCTATTTATCAGCTTTAATTTGGGTTTGTCTTAGATTTAATTAATATAATGTATTTTTTAATGTTGCCCCTGGTTATTTTTCTTATACCATATTTTTTTCACACATTTTCTTTCATCATTTCTTTTCATTTATTATAAAGACATATTTAAAAAGAAAAATATATTTTGAATCTATTTATTATTTTAAATTAATTTCAACTACTTACTCGATTTTTGTGAATTAATTATTCGATGTTTATAATAAAGACCGGAATGAGTAATAAGTTGGTAGTTTTTTTTTTTTTTTTTGGACAGAAGTAATAAGTTGGTAGTTTATTACTACGACTACGTTACACCGTTAATGAGTTGTGACCTGGGACTGAAAAAGCTGCAAATCCTTTTTTTCCCCTAAAAGCCTGCTCTCTCTCATCTCTCAGCCAGTCAGACCAGTTTTCGCTGCCCAGAAGAAGTGTCAATGGTCATCAGAGCTGCCTATGGTTCAGACTTCAGATCATTGGAGAAGGGGAAAACATCTCTGTATTTGATGTGTTGCCGCTCGGCTTTAGATCCACGCGGCTTCTCCTGGCTCATGGTCGCATCAGAAGCTAAAGCACGATTTTATAATCGAAACAAGTTTCGGTTGTGATGAGTATCCTAAATAAGTTTAGATGTAAATTATCTATATCTTATTTACATGGCTTAAATTTGATTTTTTTTAATTTTTATTTGTTTAAAATAATGATTTTAATATGTATATAATTTAAAATAACCATAATATCTTAACTATCATTTTTTTTAAAAATAATTTTTCCTATTTAAAAATAATTAATTAAATATTTTAAATCTGAACTATTTAAATTAGATATACACGGTCCAAACCTGATGAGTTTAGGGTTCTCATCATGGTGATGAGTATTGAAGCTGATTCTTTTTATAATCAATGATCACCGGATGTAGTTAAAATGCCTTTATATCTCTATGCTGAGCGTGGGAATTTGTTTGTGTATATATACATATATATATATATATATATATATATCCACAACCTATTTTTTCAAAGTCCTTATTTTGTCAATAAGTTTGAATTTGAATTAAATAATATTTCTTACTTTCTTAATATAAGACCTAATTGGAAAGTTAATATTAATTCTATATGTAAAACCTATCTCACATATTTATTAATTTTTTTCAAAGTAACTCTATTGATCTTCCCCAACAATAATTAAATAAGAGAGTGAGGAAAAAATTAAGAAAGATGCTTAAGATGTATTTAAAAAAAAAGTTATATTAACTAATTTAACAAACACCCTTAATTTATTCAAATTAGTTAATTAGGTCTTATAATTTATCTTTATTTTAATTTTGTTCTTTATAACTTCAAACTTCTTCAAATTTATATCAGTTTAAAATGTTAATTTCTATATTTTAACAAAAATCTGGACTATTTTACATATTGAGATATTAAAATGTTATATACGGGATAAAGCAGCATCTACCACCCATATGTTATTTTTTAGATGCATTCATTATGCTGATATTATTTTTTTAGTTACATCTAACACCTTAATCTTATTTATGGTTTATGGCTAAAAATACACTATCAATAAAAAGAAAAAAAAATTTACGTTAAGTTTCTTATACACATTACATCAATTCTCCAATCACGTGTTGGTCATGTGTTTTTGTTTATAATACTACTACCTCCGATCTTTATTATAAGACCTCATTTGACTTTTTGTTTGGTCCTAATTATAAGACCCCAATCCATTTTGTCTCCCATATTTATGTATTTTTTTCCAAGATAATCCTTCTAATAATGATAATTCTAGCCAATATACTTAATTAGCAAGGATATTTTAGGAATGACAATACTTATTTATTATAAATAACTAATTTAACTTACTTCCTTAATCTCCTCAAATAAGTCAACTGGATCTTATAATTAGGACCGGAGGTAGTATTAATTAAGTATTAATATATGTAACATCAGAAACTTTGTAAGTATTGTCGTAAATAAAATTAAGGTATTGAAAACATAAAAAAATTAGGATGCTAAATATATTTTAAATACAATTAAAGTATTTGATCCCCGTCAGAGATAACATTACGATGGGGATGTCATTTAGCCTTTATATATATATATATATATATATATATATATATATATATAGGCCATAGAATGTGATGGAAATTTTTTTTTAATATATAATCGTTTGTACGCGTGGCACTTTCAGTCATTGTCTTTGTTCATTTTGGTTTTCTTTTTGTTTTGTTTTCTATTGTATGGGTGGCACGTGGTCGCTGGGCGCGTGGAAAGCTTCTTTCCACTAGGGGCCTACTTCAGTACCAAAACCCTTTGATCGAAATCACCGATTTGAGTATTTGAACCTGTCGGCTCCTTTCCAGCGCTGCGCTTCCATTATTATCTTCCTCTTTTAGTCATCCATAAAAGGAAGAACCCGTGTCTTGGGCCATGTTGTAACAACTCTATATATAACAACCTTTTTGTTTTTGTAATTTTAACATTTGAGGAAAAAAAACCTTTTCAATATTACCTCTGTCTTTAATATAAAAACTAAATACCTAATTTAAGTAGATTAAAAAAAATAATTAAGTTAGTTATTTCTAATAAATATGTATTATTTTTTCTAAAATATTATTATTAATCAAATGTATTGGTTAGAACTCCTATTATTACAAGGACTATTTTGAGACAAAATAGATAAATATGATAAACAAAGTGGGTTGGGGTCTTATATTTAAGACTAAAAGCTTAAGGACCGGAAGTAATACTATTTACAACAATTTTTTTTTTTTTACGATTTCAACATTTGAAAATAAATACAAATAAGGTCACGTTGTTAAAAAAATGTGTTGTAAATGATATTGGTGAATTGGTGAATGAAGTTAACTTGCCCTTAATTTGTCGCTTTGGGGTTATTCTAAAAATTAACCGAATTAATGCAATATAGTGCACAATCCGGGTCGTATTCACTTTGAGGAGCCGAAAACGAAATTAAATCCTAGTAAATAAATGCAAGTAACCTAAATTATAAAAAAGATTTTTAATTTGAGAATTTCTAATTAAACACTATGAATTAAATTGAAATTAAAATACTTTTTTTTTGTTTTTATGTAAAAATGATTAAAATGAATGAAAATTAAAAAAATGAAAATGAGACACACAAATAACACTGATAAAAATCAATCCTCCAATTCAACAACGCAGCAATCATCACTCTAAAAGATGTGAGAGTTAAAAACAATGAATTAAGAATTATAATTAAGCTTTTGATCCAACAACCGAGCCACCTCGAGTTGCCACAAAATATTTTTCTAAAATCCCAATTTACTAACTGCAACCAGAATAGTAAAATGGGATTAAGGATGCTAAAAACAAATGCTTAATTAGAACTCTTAAATCCAAAATAACAGAATTAAAGCTAGCAAGAGACAATATGATCCAAATTTCTAAGCCACTTTAGAAAATCACAATATATTAACTCCAAAATCAATACAAATGTCATAACCACAACATTATAATTGAAATCAAAACTATAAACAGCCCAATGTCAAATACTAAGCAATAATTCAGTCACGATAATCTCCAAATATAATCAGATTAAGCAAT